TGCTGCATCTAAGGGCAGGGTGAGACAGACCCCATCAGCCAGACTGGCACCTGCTGGGTCCACTGAGCAGCCCCTCGGCAGGCAGGACAGCTGCAGCCCCCCAGCCCTGTCCCCAATCCCCACTAGTACTGTCTGAAAAGTGTCACTGCCCCACAGGGGCATAGGGCATGAGACACCTCTCTGGGATGAAGAAGGGTCACTGCCAGATGAGGGACCCCAAGGGCCCAGGGCCCCAACTGCCACATCACAAGGTGCCATGAGCATGGCCACACACAGCTGTGGGTCTCACCCAGCTCCTCCAGGCGCTTCTTCTGCTCCTCCCTCCACTTGCGGATGCTCTCAGGTTCCTGGGTCAGACGGTCAGCCTTGGCTATGGCTGCATAGGCATCCGTGGGGCCATTGGACTCCTGCAGGACACAAGCCCCTCATCATCAGTACCAGCTCCTCCCACAGCCCAGCCCTGTCACCTCGAAGGGCTGGCAGCAGGGCAGGACTCCATGCTCCCAGCACTCAGGCAAGCCAAGACAGGAGGTAGGGAGGGTGACAGCCTGGGACATCTGGGACAGTGTCGCCAAAGTGCTGCTCAAACTGTTGTCCCAGCTCCCTGCCACCTAGAAAGACAGCATTCCTCTCCTTGACTTGCTGCTCACTGCCAACACAACTCTGATGTCCTCTGGGCCACCCACACCAGAGGTCAGCCACCAGCTTTGTGACATGTTCCCCACCAGCACTGTGCTTTCCCAGCCCTGATTTAGGCTGAGGCAGCCCCAGGACTGAGCACCATTACAGGCTCAGCCACAACAGATGAAGAGAGCCCCGGCAAGAGCCAGAGCCCAAGGGAGGGAGGTACAGCACTCTGCCTGGACACCAGCCCACAGGCAACAGCCTCCCTCCCTCCTCCGAGCCGAGCTGCCTGCAATGGCTCCCACCAGGCCCAGCACCACAATGGCTCAGCACCTCTCCTAACACCTTCCGCTGGCCAGGACACCCAGCCTGACACTGAGCTCCCTAATGAGATTACGGCTCTTCTCCAAGATCCCAAATCTAATTAAGTCTGTTCCATCGCTAATGTGATTATCATCTCATAAACTAGGCACGGGCAACGCACGTGCCACACTACTGGGCACGGAGTGGGTGAAGGGCTTATCAGATGCTGGCGCAGCTTCTCCTGTAGCCAGTACAGCTGGGCTTCGGGCTCCCAGAGGGAGCCGAGATGCAGGCAGGTGGCCCTCACAAAACACCCTTGGCCATGGGGCATGTGGGTTTAACGGGACGTGCTGCCAGGACTTGGCAGCAAGGCCACAGCAAGGCGTGTCCCATGGCAGCCCTGTCCTGGCTCTGGACTCTGCCAAGAGATGTTCCCGGCTGCCCCAGAGGCCTCCAGCAGCTACCCAGGCCAGAGAGAGAGGGCTTCTGTGGGGAATGGAGGATTTGTCGTCTGCTTTTAGGCCCCAGGCACTCCTTCAGGGCACAGGCCACCTGCAGACATATTTGGGGCAGGTCATGGCAGGCGGCACCAACCTTCTCTTCCAAAAGGATTGAGAATGGAGTAGCCAGGACTCCCCAAGACCCAGACCTTCCTGGGAGCACCAGTTTTTCTGGGGCTGGATAGCAAAGTCCAGTCAACCCTGGGGGCAGAGCAGTGGAGTGCTGGCCCCATACCCACCCAATCCTCCTTAGCACCACTGGGCCAGAGCAAGGGGCTGAGCTCTCACCTGAAAGACATCTCCATTGACTGTGGCTCCTCCATTCTGGAAACCAGCTAGAGAAAAAGGAAGAGATAAAGACAAACACAACTATGGCAACTGCAGATGATCCCAGAGGGGCTGGTGTTCATGAAACCAAAGCAAATAATTTCCCGGAAGCTCGACTGTGCTGTATCTTTATCAATGATCTGGACAAGGGGATTGAGTGCACCCTCAGTAAGTTTGCAGATGACACCAAGTTGGATGGGAGTGTTGAACTGCTTTGAGGGTAGGAAGGCTCTATAGAGGGATCTGGACAGGCTGGATCGATGGCCTGAGGCCAACTGCACAAGGTTCAACAAAGCTCAGTGCTGGTTCCTGCATTTGGGTCACAACAACCCCGTGCAATCCTACAGGCCTGGGGAAGAGGGGCTGGAAAGCTGCCCAGCAGAAAAGGATCTGGGGTTGTTGGTCGATGGCTGGATGAGTATCGGCCAACAGTGTGCCCAGGTGGCCAGGAGGGCCAATAGCATCCTGGCTTGTATGAGAAACAGTGTGGCCAGCAAGATGAGGGAAGTGATCATCCCTCTGTACTCGGCACTGTTGAGGCTGCACCTTGAATACTGTGTTCAGTTTCGGGCCCCTCAGTTCAAGAAGGACATAGAGGTGCTGGAGCGTGTCCAGAGAAGGGCAACGCGCTGGTCTGATGAGGAGTGGCTGAGGGAACTGGGGTTGTTTAGCCTGGAGAAAAGGAGGCTGAGGGGAGACTTTATCACCCTCTACAACTGCCTGAAAGGAGGGTGTAGTGAGGTGGGGGTTGGTCTCTTGTCCCAAGTAGCAAGTGATAGGACAAGAGGAAACATCCTCAAGTTGCGCTATGGGAGGTTTAGATTGGATATTAGGAAAAATTTCTTCACCAAAAGGGTTGTCAAGTACTGGAATGGGCTGCCCAGGGAAGTGGTTGAGTCCCCATTCCTGGAGGTATTTAAAAGATGTGTAGATGTGGTGCTTAGGGACATGGTTTAGTAGTGGACTTGGCAGTGCTAGGTTAACAGTTGGACTTGATGATCCTAAAGGTCTTTTCCATCCTAAACGGTTCTATGATTCTATGATTTCCACCTCAGCACACACATCCACAAAAGCCCCACATATGTGGGCCAGGCCCCACAGCCTCCTGTCCCTGGTGGGATTCAGCCAGCCCTTTTCTCTCTCCCAGACAAGCCTCTCGGGACAGTTATGTCTTTATGGTGTTTTCTCTGGAGTTTTATCTTATCTGAAGATTAGGGAAACTGTTCCAGGCACGGGACTGGACACAGGCAGGTTCTCTAAAGACAACCTGACCAATCCCAACGTGCAAGCGGCCAGGCAGAGGCTGCCGATGGACACAGACAACTGACCCAGAAGCTGTCGGCCGAGTGCCCAGAGTGCAGGGCTGCGACAGGAAGGCAACCCTGCCAGGGACAGAGCCCAAGAGAAACACTGCAGTGTGCTCCACCAGGAGAAGAGAGCAGGCGTGCATGCCAAGGTCCTTGAGAGCCCGCCTGGGGGCATGTCCCTGTGATGAGCTTTAAGGTTGGGGCTTAAGTGCCTTGGTGAGGCACCACTAACACCCACAGCTGGGGTACAGCTCCATCTTTCCCCCAGCCCCAGAGAACACCAAGCTGCACACCAGGGCCACGAGGCCAGCCCTGTACAGGGCTCTCTGCTGCTAGGCAGAGAAGCTTTGAAGGAGGCAGACTCCAGGCTCTGAGCTGCCACAGCTCTGACCACGGGGCTTCTACTGGCCAGCTGAGCCGCACAGCCACAGTGCAGCTCAGGCAAGCTCCGTCCTCAGAGTGATCGCCCCCACAGTGCAGCTCCAACTACACCCAGCTCCAGCCTGTCTGACTGCATTTATCGCCATGGCTGTCAACACCTCGCAGTGCCCAGGTCTGCCTCCACAGCCCTGTGTGCAGGCAGGTGAAACCACTGCTCCACAGCCAGTACATGGAGGCCCTGTGGGCCCAGGTTATAGGAAGGAGTCAGAGTACTGTGGCAGCAGCATCCCTATGTCCACACGGAGAGCAGACCCTGAGTCCCTGCAACCCTGCTACCTACCAAAGCCCCTGCAGACTGGTGGCAAGAGAACAGGATTAGTGCCTTCTACCTGCAGGGTCTGGGACCACGATGTCCCCAATGGAAACGCCTTCCATTCTGGACCCCAAAGGGCTCTCCTGTCTGTGGGGATAGTGACAGGGCTGTCACTGCTCCTCAGCTCCGCCTGAACGCCTCTCACACTGCCTTAGCTGGGGGCACTGAGACGTGGAGACGGGGGTCCAGCCAACCCAGTGAACCCAGCCTGAGCACACAGGGGAGGAATCGCCCCACAGCTGGCAAGGCCCAGCTCAGGATCCACCCCACATCCTGAGGCTCGAGAGGGAACCCCAATATCAAGCCTTCTGGGACCAAGCACAGGCCCGAGATAGTCCTTGCTGGGATGTAGGCCTGGTCCACTGGGGAAACCCATCGCCCACCCACCGGGGGTGCAGCGCATCCCACGGGGAGCCTCAGTCCGCCTGAAGGGAACCCCTCCCTGCCCTCGGGGCAAGAGGGGCCACAGGCCTTCT